AGTGATTCAAGGAAGTGTCCTGGGACCGTTACTCTTTCTTATGTATATAGATGATATAAGTTATCAAACATGGCAAACTATTCCTAATCGCTGATGACATCAAACTTGTCTACACTTTTCCTCCTGGCAATCTCAATTCCTCGATAGGAAACATACGGGAGGACATCATGTCATTAGAGTCTTAGTGTCAAACCTGGCTGATGAAATTCTCAGCCGATAAATCCACCATTGTCGCACGCGGTTATCGTTTACCTGAGGACATTCTAAAGCTGGATGGTCATGGTATTTCAGCTGCAAACTCAGTCCACGACCTAGGTATACGTTACTCGAACATATATCTTTTCTAGTAGCTAACACTAGACGAACGATTGGATATATTGAACACTCATTCTTCCTCACTGCAGCTCGACTGCACCTTTATAAGCTGTGCATACGACCCCAACTTGAGTACTGCACGTTCATATGTAGTCACTTGCGCAAGTCTGATAAGCTAGCTCTGGAAAGTCTCCAACGTGCATTTACGAAAGGTTTAGTGGGTTATCCATCTTCTTTAAACTACAGAGAACGCTGTCAGATGCTTGAACTAGATCCTCTTTGGTTATGCAGTCTCAATCTGAACCTTGCGCTCGGGTATAACCTAGTTTATGGCAATAAATTTATTGTCAAACTCGCGATTCGCCTTCAGCATAGCTCAAAGTACAACATCAGGAACGGAGAGTTCACGTTGACAGCTCTCGAATCCCGTGAAAAAAGCTCCGCTCAGATTTTTTCCTAGTGAAATATACCTACATTTGGAACAAACTCCCACATACAATTAGAACCAGTTATAATATAAATCAATTCAAACGAAGCTTAGAAACTTTCTTGACATTAAAGAACGTAATGTCTATTTTCAAACTCTGCCTGGCTGAAGACGATATCTTTGAAAACGGCCCAAATAACATCTAAACATGTGATCTAACCTAATAACGTCAGAGGGTGAACCTATACCGCATGATGTAGCGCCACACACTTCGTACTGATCAAAGCTATCAACTTCGTCATTTGAAGAATTCCTCAATTTCGAAACTTGTTTCTTCTCCAGCAGGATAGATCTTGTACACAGCTCTGTCGAAAAATTGCAGCTGCATAACGAAACTATAGCCAGCATATGGTAACATCCTGAACATCCCCGTTAGTAATAACCAAACCATCCTGGTACACTATTACTCCATATTTAATGATTATCAGTTGCGTATAGCTATCAACCACTATGCAATAGCTGTGCAAGTTAAAGTTCGCCTCATAAGATTATATATATATATTCCATAACGTCCGGAAAATCAGAATCCCGTACTGGTTAGACTATTCGCGAGGTCCGTGAAATTCCGTCGATTTTGAGGAAATAACGGAGGCCAGTTCAGAAGATCGTCCATTTCTCCAGAAAAATTGTGACCCACTTGTCTTCCTTCATCTTCCCAAAAGTTTCTACCTATTTTTCCAAAGCGGTCTACATCAGTTGATGGCGAAATTCTTCGAATGTTAATTTTCTCCGTCATGAAAATTCTTTTTTCTGTCATGGCCTTGAACATAAGGCCAACGTTAACCTTGTGAAGCAAGAATTAATGTAACCACTCATCTTTTTTATCGAACATTGAAAATTGTGAGAATTATCGTTTCAGAAGCAAACGAGCAAACTGCCCCTTCATAAACTAGAATGTTCCCCTATTATTATGCCCGTTTTGTTACTTTATTCCCATTATTGGTGTATTGTACAATTAACAATTACGTGTACGTTATGGGTTTCACATTGAAATGTGTGTACTGATCACGCTTACCTGAGTGTGTTTCTCACAGATGCGCTGAGAAACATACCATTATTAATAATATTGTTATTATTATTATTATTGTCAAGTTCTTGTTGACATGTATGATAATCTTCTGTTGTAAATATCTACGCGTTTGTGTCATTCAGGATTCTGCATTGCGATAATTGTGTCTAGCTATTGAGGTTGTCAAATATCTGACGGTGTATGTTCATGATCAGGTATCCATCAAATATGGATTGATGTGTAATATTTTGAGGCTGGGAATTCTTTCTTTCTTGTTTGCAGCGTCCTGCTGCATATATGTTTGTGTATCACGCAAGGATGATTTATTAGTAAAGTGGTCTTTCTTAATCGTAAATTTAATACAAGGGACAGGCTCAAGTTTATTACCATGCAAATCGTGTGGTTACTTATGCTTATCACCTGGGTAGTCTTATGTGGATGCTGAAGTTGATAGTTGATATTTTAAATGAAACCCAATTGTAAAATGTCAGGGCTTCGGCTGGAATCGAACCAGCGACAGAAACACCATGCCAAAATGCGGCAAGCGCTCTACCAGCTGAGCTACGATGCCACGCCAGGAGCTCAGAAGTTTCACATTCGGACTCGGTTAGTAATACATTTTCTATGCTCAACAGTAGCGTTGGTTGGTTCCATGACAGAGCGCGACGAGTGGGTAGCCGAGTCCAAATGTGAAATTTCCGAGCTTCTGACGTGGCTTTGCAGCTCAACTGGTAGAGCGCATGCCGCGTTTGGGTGTGCTGTTTCTGTCGCTGGTTCGGTTCCAGCCAAAGCCCTGAGTTTTCAAAATTGGGCTTCATCTGAAATCATAAATCTATCACACTCCTGATTAGCAGTACGGTTCATATTTTGTTTGTTAAGAAACTGGTACCTTTGGAACATTGTATGCAACATTGCATGTGTTTTTGTATGTTCTATGTCACATAGTTCTATACTTCCTTCAGTTATAAGTGAATTGATGCAAGTGAATTCAACACAATATAAATAGATGAATTAACTTACCCTGACAGGCCGCCCTTCAAGCTCCGGTCTCAGTTTTGGATCCGCTGCTTCAATGCGCCATTGGGAAGCAAAACTTGGCTTTGCATACTCTAAGTATAGTGGCTGAATGCCAGGTTGATAAACAGGGTCACAAAGATGTTCCACGTCACTGGCCAAATAAAGCGGCTGCTCTAATGGACCTTCTGTGTTAGCTTCTGTATGTGCAATCATCGGCTTTATAGTGAACATCACAGATTGGCCGTATCTAACC